ACTATATTTGCTTATCAATGTCCCCTCTACTGTTTTCTTCCCATCCCAGCTCCTTTACTACTTTTTTTCTGACCTGTTTTTAATTTAACATTTTCTTCAAGTCCTTACTTTATTTCCAGTTCTTCTTTCTCTTTCTACTGTTTTCATTATTTTTCATCTCTTAGCCTCTATTTTCTTCATTTTTCCTTTACTTCTTTTCCCATCTCTCCCCATTTCAGTTATCACTCTTTCACTCACTTTTTTGTTCTTTACCTCATTCTTTCTTCCTCTTTTTCTTTCTTTCTTGCCCTCATCCTTTACTGCATACAACCATTCATTCATTTCCTTACTTTTCTCTTGCCCTGTGGAATTGTGCCTGTAGAAGCTGAAGGATGGTGGGGGTGGGGAGGAGACATGCGTGTAAAGGAGGAAGGAGAGGGTAACTCAAGTTTTTGAGTAATGCAAGTGCAAAAAAGCCTCAAAATATTATTTAGTATACAACAGCTGAGAATATCTATAATAATGTTGTCTTTTGCTTTGAGTGGCATGTAATTCTGGATTACTACCAGCCCCATTTCTCACCAGATTAACTAGGCTTCACCTGCCCAGAACATTTCAGTATAATCAGACTTCTTAAGATCAAGCAGCATATTTTCCTGAGATTCCAGTTTTAAATCTCCAGTGTACTCCAGTGTACTTCAGTAACAAAGGTTATTTGACTTGAATGGGGAGACTTGGATATGACAAACACTAGGACCTCAAGCTGATTTTGAATATTATAAAAATATATATATCATGAAAATGTTTTTGTGCTTTATACAGCTTTATCCAATATACCAAATAACTTCAGAATGTAATGTTCTTGTTTGAAAATGAAGTGTGAGTCTACTCTGAAAAATGACTAAAAATTCTGTTCTGTTTGTGCTTCAGTGACTTCTGGAGCAAACTTGCAAAAATAACACTGCGACCAGCAGCTTGATCATAAATGTACAAATGTCTTTCCAACAGCAAATCCTACAGACTTCCATCTTCGATCTAAAAGTCCAGATGAATTATTTCTGTCTATTGCATGACCAATAATAAAGATTTGGGGGGTTGGGGGCAAATTCTGTCACCAGTTAGTAGTTATACTTTTTGTAGCACCATTGTCAAAATAGGGTGTATGTTCCTTCTAAAGCATGAACAGAACTATTTATGCATTTTCAATAGCAGGGCAAAATTATGTGCTCACTTTTACCCCTCTGTAACCTCATTGCCTTGGAATTGGAATTTTGTTAATTTTTTGAAGTATTAAAAGGGATAAAATGTGGATTACATAGCTATGGGTGTATTGACTCTGCAATGCTATTGGGATTAAAAAGCAGTAAAAACTTACTTTTGTCATTAATATAAGCAGAAGAATTCACACAGTGGCAGATCTGTTGAATAAAAAGCTATTTTTACAGTCATTATTGGAGTAAAATTGATATTCAAAACAAGAGAAGGCAAGAGAAATTGAAATATAGGTCTGACCTTCCCAGCTGGGATATATGTGTGGGGAATCACTACTATACCCAAGCTGGGAAAGTGAAACCATGCTCCAAACAGCTGCACATTTAAAAAATTTTTTCTCAGGGTTTTTTCTATTTAACATGGCAACAGTGATTTTGAACAATTCAAAGCAACCCAGACAGTCTCATTGCCACTTAGGGTCTTGTCTCCGGGACTTCACCATATTTAGAGTTCTTCTTCCAGGGCTTCTCAGCCCTCTTCATCTGAGACTTTGCCCCAACTGGATCCTGGTGCCTGGTGTCTTTCTCTCAGATCATCCACGTGACAGGTGCAGAGAACCCCTTCCCAGGTCTTTGCCTGCTCCAAGGTTTCTCTCGTCATCTCCACTGGCTCAAGGGCATTAACCAATGCACTGGAGTGTTAAAATAGGCAAAGAAGATTGGTTTTTTTTTCTTCAGCTGAGCATACAGATGAGATGAGGCAGAAGCAGAGATATGAGGAAAAGCTTTCCCAATTTCTGGTATTGCAGAGAGAGCTCCTCAACAACAGGAGAACAATTAGGAAGACACAGAAGAGGCAGCCAGTGTCAGATGACCAGGGATACATCAACTTTTTTTTAAGAATATATCAGCTTCTCTTCCTTGGCTGTTGAAAGACCAAGATGTTTCTCCTTCTTCTTTCTTCTCCTATTCATTCTGATGGTGGTAAGGCAGGGGAAAGTATCTTTAGTTGCTCCAGTCTGTTTGATCAGTGCCCCACCCCTATAGCCTTATATGTATTGAAGAGTATGAGGACCATTGCTTTGCTCACTTAAAATGTGATCAAGCCAAATGCATAGAAATAAGTATGCGAGTTCTGAATATTCTGAAGGGGATAGTGAGTTAGTTTAGATAGAACGTGAACTTGAATAAGTTATTTTCTCTCTCACAAAGGCACCATTTGTCTTACAAGTGTGATATTCCATTGATGTTTTTTTATATTGTAAACAAAAAAGTCACAAAATGTATTTATCATAGTGTACTGTATTTTTGACAGAATTCACCTATATTCTCTGCTGGTTCATATGGTGCATGCTTGAAAGAATTTATAGTAATGTGCATCTTCTGCCCCATTGTACATCATTGTATAGCCAATTTTAACTTGATAAATTCCTCTTAACTAATTTAAAAATAGGTTCTGTATGAATGTTTTTCGTAGCAATATATGAACTCCCTGGACAACTGGGCTGTAATTCGACCATGAGCTTTGCTGCCATTCATAAACTGCTGAAGCTGTGCTCTTAAAGTTTATGAAGGCCTCAGAAATGCTAGATTGAATTACAGCTTTATTTGCTATATAAACTGCAACGGCTAGATGTCGTAGCATTTAGTTCATGAGTCTGAGGATGTTTTGTAATCCTTAAAATATTACTTATCATTTACTGTAAAACTTCCATTTTATAGACATTCTTTATAGATAGGGCCCTACCAAATTCACGGTCCATTTTGAACAATTTCACTAGGGTTACCATACGTCCGGATTTTCCCGGACATGTCCGGCTTTTTGGGCTCCAAATCCCCGTCCGGGGGGAAATCCCAAAAAGCCGTGCAGGTGCTCAGGGGCCAGGCCGGGGGCTCTGGGGCCGGGCCGGCGGTGCGGTGCCTGGCCGGGCCGGGGGCTCTGGGGCCGGGCCGGCGGTGCGGTGCCTGGCCGGGCCGGGGGCTCTGGGGCCGGGCCGGCACCGGCGGCTCGGGGGCCCGGGGGCCGGGGACCGCAGTGCTGGGCGGGCCTGGGCCGCGCCTCCTCCCCCCACACTCCCCCTTACCTGCTTCAGGCTTCCCGCGACTCAAATGTTCGCGGGAAGCAGGGGAGGGGCGGAGACTTTGGGGAGGGGTGGGGCTGGGGGCGGGGCCGGGGCCCTGTGGAGTGTCCTCCTTTGGGAGGCACAAAATATGGTAACCCTAAATTTCACGGTCATAGGATTTTTAAAATAATAAATTTCATGATTTCAGTTATTTAAATCTTTATTTTCATGGTTTTGTAATTGTAGGGGTTGTACCCCAAAAAGGAACGGGGGGGGGTTTGCGAGGTTACTGTAAGGGGGTTGCAGTACTGCTACCCTTACTTCTCTGCTGTTGGTGGGGGTGATACTCTCTTCAGAGCTGGGCGGCCAGATAGTGGTGGCTGCTGGACGGGATCCCAGCTCTGAAGGCAGAAGTAAGGATGGCATGGTATGGTATTGCCACCCTTATTTCTGCACTGCTGCTTGCAGAGCTGAGCCCTCGGTCAGAGGGCTGGGCTCTCTGGTCGCCCAGCTCTCAAGGCAGCAGTGGAGAAGTAAGGGTGCTATGGTATGGTATTGCCACCCTTCTGCTCTGCTGCTGGCGGGGCGCTGCCTTCAGAGCTGGCTGCCCAGTCAACAGCTGCTGCTCTCTGGCCGCCCAACTCTGAAGGCAACGCAGAAGTAAGGGTGGCAATACCATGACCCCCACCCCAAAATAACCTTGCAACCTCTTTTGGGGTCAGGACCCCCAGTTTGAGAGATACTGGTTTCCCCCATGAAATCTGGTCTTCTGTGTGCTTTTACCCTATACTATACAGATTTCATGGTCCATAACGCGTTTGTCATGGCCGTGTATTTGGTAGGGCCCTATTTATAGACGAGGGAAGAACAGTGCATTTCAAATTACTTTATCTTTTCATGTATTAATTACTTTGGGTATGTATATGTAAATGGACGTATTTGGATGTTTTTTTACATTGTACATATATATATATATATATATATATATATATATATATATATATATATATATATTAA